AATAATATTTGATTAAGTTAATTAGAATATGTCTTATACAGGTAGTCACATCTCAATCATCTCATTCTTAATTTAGGAATTTGAACATAGTCACTGCAAGCACCCTCAATTTCCCATTTTGAAATCCATGTCATGTCTTCTTTTGTGCATGCTAGTTTGGGAGACAGATACTTTCAGGTCAAACCTGATCTCTTTATCTTCGGCTATCCTCTTCCCTGGAAGTTTCTTCTATCACTCACTTCTCATGGTTCCCTTTTGGCTAGCTTATTTCCTTGGACAACATTATGCATAGCCATCTTCCAAGCTCTTCTACCTTTGATTACCTAAAAAGAAAACTTCTCAAAAGACAAGCCTACATTCTTCACCTCACTTACTGTAAACTTCTTTAGAGGCATTCTATCACCACTACTCCTAAAGATATTATTCTGAAATACCCAGTGAGTTTCTGATTCCTAACTCTGATGACCTTTCGGTTTATCATCTTAGTGAACTTACGAGCAGCTGATGGGAACGTTCTCCTCTCGTGGCTTCCAGGACATTGATGTAATAACTTTTAAGTTCTATTTTTATATCCTTTCAAGGGCTCCTTACCTAATTGCTCCTAAAACTAAAACTTCTTCAATTGTCTAACTTTCTGTATGTGGCTCCTGTTTCTCTGTCTCTTTTTGGTCTCCTGTTTCCTTTGTTAGCTCAGTTTTACTTATCTCTATATGAATAACTTGCAGTTTTATTTCTCTGACAAAATTTTTTTTAAAAATCCACATTAGCACTTTCACTTGGGTTCAGAATATTTCAAGTCATCTGCTCACTCACTCTTTCATTCATTTATTTTCATTGTGACCCTAGTAGTAGGTGGGTACTTGTGTGGAAATAGTTGTGAACAAACAAAGACTCTACTCCATAGATCTCACATAGGTAGAGAAGAAAACATAAATAAACCAAAAATGCATCAAAAGGAGGCAAATATGAATGGAGTATACTGAATAAAATGCAAAATATTCTCTTTCTCCTTTTTTTTCTTTCCTTCTGTCTTTTTCTTTTGTTCTTCCATTCTCCCTCTCTCTCTCCATCATTATAGAGATAAAACAGATTGCCTCAATACTGAGAGATGGTGATATCTCCTGTGTAATATATTCACAGGCTACATCCAATCAAAGAGATATCAGGGACCCACAGAGGGCCTTTTAAGTCATAATAAGGATCTTTCCCTTGACTTTTCCTCCAAATTACAGGAGCACCCACTAAAGATTTTTTGGAAGTAATAAGATTTGACGAGGAACACTTTGGCCACTTTATGGGAAAATGAAGGTACTTAAATATAAAGGCAATTAGACCTGTTAAGAGTATGATGTAAAATGTAATAATGCAGGAAATGTTGAGAGCTTATTACCACAATGGCAATGATGAAGACTGTAAGAAGATTCTAAATCTATTTTTTGTTTTTGAGACAGGGTCTCACTATGTAGTTCAGGTTGAACTCACTATGGGACTTGAATTCACTATGTAGTCCAGGCTGGCCTCAAACTCACAGCGATCCTCCTGCCTCAGCCTCCTGAGTGCAATGATTATACATTTGTGCCACCACGGCCTGGCTTGATAATGTATTTTTAAGAAAGTCCTGAACAAATGTTTGGTGACTGGTGTATCATATGAAAGAGAGAAGTGAAGAATGGGAGGTCAGAGAAATTGGTAGAATGGTGTTCTCTTTTATGAAGCACAAGAGTGGGATGAGCAAGTGTGGGGGGTGATGAGCACAACAGTGTAGTTCTACACAGATGAAAGATGAGATGTCCATTAAATATCTGAAGAAAAGCATCAAGTGTATCAATATGTAAGTATATATCTCAAAGGTGAGATTAAATACATAAACACTTAATTTGTCATGACATAAAAGTCACTGGGCTGGAAGACACCTTCAGAAAACAAGTACAGGGAAAGATGAGAAACATAGGTGAATGAATAAAAAGCCAGGAAGATGGCATGGGAACGGAAAGGGTTCTTGAGATATACAACAGTCAGTGTATCAAGAGATAACTTGACATCTCTCCTAGCTGGTTGAGTATGACTATGATAGGTAGCTGAGTTAGGCAGAAATATTATAGGCAGTCAGACAGGGATAGGCCCTTGAGGGAGTCAATGTAGAAGATGAGAACACATTATAACTGTGGCTAGAGGCACATCTGTCAAAGTCAGGCTTCAAGAAAGAATGACCAGGTCTACATGCCTCCCCAAAGGATAAGCAATAAATGGAAGATTATATTATAATTGGTATTACCTGGGCCAAAGAAATATAGATAGACATCAGTTACCTAGGTGGGTGACCAGGACCTCCTGATCCATTTCTTCAGAAAATGGTCTTTGTTCTTTCCATGAACACTTGCTATGTGACCTGCTTCTCCACTGGACCAATATCACCTAAGCAACTATACTTGTAATCTTCTTGATTGATCACAGTTTTGACCCATGTTGTACTTAGCTTGTGACTTTGTACACAGCTCATGACTTTGCTTTATAAAACTTCCTTTCAAAAGTGGGCTCATTTGCAGTCCACTTTCAGATCTCTCCCTGTCTCTCAAGAGCTCTCTCAATAAATTTTTCTTGCTCTTAACTTCCCTTATTCCTTAAAATTCATTCTTCATTTTGGAGAACATGAACTTGATGTATCTGACATCTAATAGGTTGGGAGTTATATTATGTCCCCTATATCATGAGGAAGACTGAGAAATGAATTTATCAACACAAAACCTATAGATGACAGGAAAAGAAAATAGAGCCTATATTTTCTTTTTACCTTTGGAAGTGGTAAAATGAGATCAAAATAAGAAGTGGAGACAGGAAAAAGAAACATCCTTTTCAAGTTTTTTGTGAAAAAGATAAGTGAAATGTGGTAGCTTGATATTTGCTGTGTAAGGATTGTGACTCTAAATTCAGTGTTAAATGAGCAGAAATAACACTACGTTTGCATTCTCTTGGAAACCAACAATAAATAGGACAAAATTGACATGAGAGGAAGATTATGGTAGGTGCCCTTGGGTCCTTGTGCAGGAAAAGTATGAAGTTCTTCAATTACTTTGATTTCTCAGTGAAATAAGAGGGTTGTCTACTGCCAGTGGGACTGAGAAGATTTGGAGATTTGAGGAGAGAGATTACTCTATGTTCATTTACAAGGCGACTACTGAATGTTCTTGACAGCAACATAGACTAATAAACTCCATTGTCCAGGATGTAAATACATGAGAACACAGACACATGCTTGCACACTGAAATGAGTTTCACTTGATAACACCCTTACTTCACTCACTTTCACATCACTTCAGCTCTATTTACAAAAAGTGAATAGTGCTCACTAACTAATATGACACACTAATGGGTTGCATCTTGGTATCTGAAAAATTGCAGAGGAAATTCTTACAGAAATGGATGCCTGTGCCGCAAAGCAGGCGCCCTTAAGGGCTAAGCCAAACTGAAGTCATTACTCACTCTCCAGCCTTCACTCACTCCTCCTGTTGAGACCTGGTCATTCTTAGCCTCTGTTCTCTAGTAATTCTAGTAGTCGGTTTTCGAGTCATCATTTTTTTCCACAACCCATTTCTGTAATTTCCTCCATTCAATTGATCATAAAATCTAAGTGACACTCACTAGCACTTGTTTCTATTCCCACTGGTTCACCGTAGTTCAATCCCTTGTATACATACATTTTTGCTTTGCTTTTCTTAAGATAATAACAGCTGCCCATGGGAGATTTAAGAAATACCAACCATATTCTCATTATTTGAGATTGTCTAGCTAAATTGGTATATATACTTCCAATCATTTTATTACTTATATTTTAAATAATTTTCTCTAGAAGTCTATATATATACATACATATATATATATATAATTACATAATATATCCTTGTCTTCTAAGGCTGCTCGCTTTAAAAATTGTATTGTGAATTTCTGTCCACATCGTCATGTTTGACAAAATCATATTTAACAGCTGCAGTGTTGCTCTATGTATGTGCTTTTACCTAAAACATGTTTTTGAAGTGGTGCAGGGGAGGCATGTACTCTTCAAGAAATCTTGGACTGTAGGGAGCAAAATCTGCCAAAGACCCCCGCTGCTATGCTCTCAGATTGATTCATTAATTTGTTGCAAGTCCACACTTTCTGTGGATCCCTTCAGAGACAAGTACTTCCTTAGGTACCTTAGGTTCAGGCAAAGTACTTCCTTAGGCCCATTTCAGGGAGATTTGAAAATCCTCTGACTAGTGACTTGAGCTGGAATCTCCTTGAAAGACTTATACAACTTTCCACTGAACTATGCACAACTTTTCCTTCTTTCTTTCCTGGGGACCAGCTTTTCCTGAAGTATGAGAGCTTTAATCCTATCTTGGCATCTGTGTCACAGAGAACCCTAGGCAACCATAGATATTGAGGTTATTTTCAGGCTATGATTGTATGCAGCCAGATTAAGACACTCTGATTGTTCACCTTTTAGCACAGCAGTCTTCTGTTGAAAGCCTCACAGGCACTGCCTTTGCCTATTATTATTAAGCCCACACTTCCCTCCTGGATGCCATGCTCCCAGCCATCTTTACAACTACCTACTGCCCTAGTTTAGCCCATTACCTGCTCAGTAAATATTCTTCCCCTCTTCTCAGCTCTGCCCCCTCCTAAAGCATCCCAAACAGGATACTTCCTTCAATTCTGGATCCTTTCCAGACTTTCCACTCCCATGTTCTCTACCCTCCATTCGAAAGATAGAAAGGCATGTTAGTGATTTTTACTCTTTCGGATATGTTAGAAGGGAGACAGTATTTTTACTCTTTTAAGTATGTTAAAAAAAGAGCCAGTGTTTCTACTTTTTTGGGCATGCTAAAAGGGAAACTAGCCCAATGGCAAGTATGTATCATCTGAAACCAAACAGATCTGCTTTGCTATTACATTACCCTTCTTTTTTAAAGGCAAAAACTGTGATTGCATATGTATGGGAAACACTGAACTAAACAAAACAATTCAAGCTTTTTGTTTTTAATTCCAACACTTCTCAGAGCCCTTAAAAGAGTAATACATACAGTGACTTCCCAATGCCAGCGCTGATTCTTGGTAAAACTTATCCCAAATTTATTGGATTATGAAGTCTTTAAAAAATAGATAATCTCCAGACATTGCTATTTCTTTGCACACACTGGGAAAAGGTAAAGTTTGTCACAGAACTTTGCAGTCATAATTTTTACAGTACTCCATTTGTCTTTCAGTTGCCTTTGTTTTACAGTTATACACGTTTTGTCACGTTAGCATCTTGAAAACAGCAGGCACAGGTTGAACTAAAAATCAGGGAATTTTAGTGTGTGTTCACAGCTAGGAGTAGTATTCGTTAATTGGTAGTATTTGGTAATATCGGAGTACCTTTTTTACACTTTTTGCATTACTGTCGTATTCCTCCTTAGCATCTTTCAGGCTGGGAAAAGATGGGTAGCTTGACGCGGGCGGAAAGCCATTGTTAACAAGGGCCCAGTGTTTTCCTCTAAATATTTATTCGAGGACGGCTATAGCAGGAGAAGAATGTAAAGACGGAGGTGAATCTTAAGGGCCAGAAGCAGGGACACCCGCCCCTGGTCTGGCGTGGCAGCCTGTGGCTCAGTTCTGCTTGCTTTCACTTCCCAGAGTGTGTTTGTCAAAGAGGTACTCCGCCAGGCCAGACCGCGGCGCGCCCATGGAGACCAAGTTGTGCACGTAGTCACCCAGTTCTTTGATGGACTTCACCTGCTCGTTCAGGAAATGCGTTTCCAGAAAGTCGCACAAGTGGGGGTCCTTCTTGTCGGAGGCCAGCGCGTGCAGCTCCAGCAGCGACCGATTCACGCGCCGCTCCAGGCCGAGCGCGCACCGCATGGC